GCTGCTATTACCCCCTAATAGCCCTAATAGGTCATCACCCCCCCCCCCAACAGTATCCAGAATGGCATACTTGTTATGGGTGAGGAGCAACATCAGGGGATTCCTGCACTGGCTGCTTGCCCCTTCTAGCAGCCACCCATCTATCTACCTGCACCTTGGGTGTCACCACATCTCTAAATCTACTGTCTATGATGCTTTCCACCAGCCTCATGCTCCTAAGTGCATCTAATTGCCGCTCCAACCTATCCATGCGGTCTGTGAGGAGCTGCAACTGGGTGCACTTCCTGCAGATGTAGTCATCCGAGAAGTATCACTTGACAACAGCCCCGCAGCAAACCACCGTCTGGAAGTGGTGACTGCACTGATGCAGATCTTCCCTACGTCAGCCAATCAGCGTCGCCACTCTATTGCGCTCTTCCGGGTATATGTGACAATAATAAATCAAATCAAATAAAATCAAAAACCTGCAAAAGCTAATGTCATGCCTTTGGATCAAGAGGCCAAGAGGCAGAATGCAGGTGGCAAATAGGTGGGGGACAAGGGAAAAGGCAAAGACATCAGACGTGACAATGCAGGGGCAGGATGGATCAGAGGTGACAATGCAGGGGCAGGATGGAAAGCCATTACAATTATTATTTAGCTGTGATAAGGTAGTTAAGAATGCAATCAGATGAGGGTAATTCAATCCAGCTTGGCGACAGTGGAAAGGCATTGGAGGTAAGCGGCATGGTCAGTGGTGTTAAAGGTTGCAGAGACAGTGAGGACTGAAAATTTTTCACAGTCACACAGTGTTGTTGGTGACTTTGACAGCTACTTTGGTATGGTAGGAAACCCAACTGGAGGGATTCATACATGGGAGTTTTGGGAAAAATAGGAATGGGTTTGGGAGAACAATATATTCATGAAATTCCAAGGGTGGTGGTAGTTTGGAAATGCAACTATAGCCTTCAGATTCATGGGTTTAGTAGGAGAATCACGGGTTACGGGGAAAGGGCAGGAAATGGGTGTAACGAGGGTAGGATCAGCCATGATCCTATTGAATAGCAGAACAAGCTTGAGAGGCTGAATGGCCTATTCCTGCTTCTAATTCTTATGGGAGGCTACGAAACAAATACAGTGCACCCTTCCCAATCAGATGGAACAAGAAATCCTTAAAGGACTTTGTACTTGTAAATTTCAAACAGTGTAATCAGTTTAGTCAGTGTAGGGATGAAAGAGATGAAAAAACATGGCTATAGGGGTATAATTTTAATAGCTGTTTGAACGAGATCTTAAATCACTCAAACTGACCGTTGACATCTTTGCCCAAATTAGCAAAACTCTATTGGTAGTGGCTGCAATTAAGACATTGTGGGCTTTCAAACTCACCTTAACCTTCCTGTCTTCATTTAATACACCTGGTCTCCAGCTGATGGCAGAGTTGAGATTGGAACCTCTCTGTGTGATGAGTGCAAGCAATGTTTCCTATATGATCACAGTGAATACGCATCAATAAGTCAGTCATTGGTTGGGAAACACTTTGAGTAGAGTTGCCAACTCTCCAGGATAGCCCCGGTGTCCTCAGGAATTAAAGATTAATCTCTAGGACTCTGATTGGAAGCAAAGATTCGGGGGGGCGCGGGTGGGAAGAGAGAGAGAGAGAAAATCAGTCTTTTAACGATTGTGTTTTGCTATGAGCTTTTCAGTTTTGGAAACATTTGCAGATGTAAAAACACAATTTTAACTGGGTTAGTTGACTGGGGTTGGTCCAAGGAATTTACTAGGAATATGCTTAACTAAAGTTAGCCATGCAAACTGAGAGATATCCTAAGGTTGCATGTGGCTGTATTAACATGTGGATAGCTCAAGTTGACTGGATGGCTGGTTTGTGATGTTGAATTATGCCAATAGCATAATTTAATTCCTGCATTGGCTCAGGTTAACATGGAGATCTCTCCTTCTCAACTTCTCCCATTGCCTAAGGCATGGTGACCCTCAGGTTAAACCACCAGTCATCTTTCTCTAATAAGAGAGCCATCCTGTGGTCCAGTAGGACAATGGTGACTTTACCTTTTACACAGAAGAGCCAAATAAATACATAATATTTAAGAAATAAACATCCTTCATCTTAAAATTTCCACCCCCACATCTTCTTGTTAAATTTGCCTAGATCACAATTTAAGAGCTGAGACAGCTGGTTTGACTCAGTTAGTATTTCTGCTCTCACAAATTGAATTTGGGATTAGATGATTCATTGAGGCCCCACAGGTTAATTACCTAACTATCCAGAATCCCATCACATGATCCAAATAAATACCCTGAACAGTATTTCCCCTTTTTAGCAAAAACAGATTTACTAGTTATCCCATTGACGTTTATGATGTCTTGTGCACCAGAGCGGCTATCTTTATCCATATGAGTCACCACATTAAAGAAACTACATAAACAAACTTTAACTTACATGGCAATTTTTGCATTAACTGGAGACTCTGAACATTCTTTGCATCAGCCAGGAACCACTTTCTGAAGTGCAGCCATTGTTGTGTTCAATGGTAGGTTTGTAACCAAGTGACAAAATGCTCCCACAAACATGAAATGAATGACTAAATATTCTAGTCCGGTGCTATTGAAAGATAAATGCTGGCAAGGATTCAAAGAGAAATCCTTTTTAAAACACTGCTCAGGGTTCTTTCATGCCTACTTGAAAAAGCAGATAAGGTCCAAAGATAGCAAGTTCACAAAATGCTTTGAAGTATTTCAAGGGCATCGTAAGGTGTGATATCAGCTCACGTTTGTATCTAGCTTACGCTATGTCAGGAACTCTAAGGGTAGATATAAAAAAGTGGACACTACAATTATTTTCCTCTGTTAATAATTTGTGATTTTGCTGATATGCTGCTTGTGTTGTTCATTCACAAGGTAACGTTAGTGAATGATCATCCATCTTGCTTTTGGGAGAAAAGCATTTCAGGGGTGTGGTAATGGATTGGTTGAAAGGTAGGTAGGCTTCCCATGAGCTGATATTGAACGGATTAATGCATTGACCATTTAGCAAGAAGTCAAAAGTGCTGAAACAGGCAGGTGGAGTTCAGTCCATGTGGAGGTGCCGGCGTTGGACAGGGGTGGACAATGTCAGAAGTCACATGACACCAGGTCACCTGATGGAGCAGCCCAAACCCCGATGATGGAGCAGCCCAAACCCCGATGGACTATAACCTGGTGTCATGTGACTTCTGACTATTTCAGGACAGGCATTAAAATCCTGACACGAACCTCCACAAAAGCCTAAATGAACATTACTGGATTCCATAACTTGGACTGGCATATTAGAAGTCCAGGCTGACTGAAAAAGTAATTTAATAGATTTAGCTCATTGTGCTCCCCAAGAAGCCATTGGAAAAAAAAAGTACATATGGAAAAGTAAGGCAAGCTTTCCTGCACTGGGGGGTGTGTTTCGAAAGCCAAAACCTGCTGCTTTACTTCATTTCCTGGTAATTTACTCCAGATCAAGGTTAAGCGAACATTGTCTACTCTGATGGCTGCATTGATTCCTGTGCAAGCTGTACCTCCAGGTGTAGGTCCCCAGGGAGGAAGGTCATAGCTATCTCTATAAGTGGGATCCATGGACTAGGGCATTCCTTTTAATACAGCTGCTTAGCATAAATCTGGAGAAAATGTTTAAATACTGTTTTAAAAGTCAACAGCTGTTTTTGTTGAGTGGGCCACATTCCATTTCACACAAGGCATACTTGAAGCTCTGGACAAATAAAACAGCTTTTTAATCTTATTCCTTGGTATGCACAGACCTATCTGCACACGGTGTCCTAATGATCAAGTCCAAATTCCCAGGTTTCAAGACTGAGTATTTTATTAGCTCGCTGCATTTTTTGCAACCTCTGCATTTTAAAAACATTTACAGAGTTTCCTCTGGAATTTTTTAAAAAAATTGTAAACTGAAATCTGCCAAAAGCAGCAGCTTAATGTTACTCAACAGTCAATTGAAAGACCATAGGACTAAAACTTCCCTGCGGCAGTGAGACTTTATTCAGATTCTTGTTCAAGTGCAAAACAGACGCTGTAATAGAAGGAGAAGAAATACTCAAGGTTAATTATTGAATTTAGGTGCAGAGGTGTACCATTTGGTGTTTTAGAATCTGTGGGAAAGCAAAACACATTCCCATCTTTCAAGACAACAAAGTATCTTGATTTAAAAATAACCCTTCAATGATAGTTCAAGGGAAACTTAAAAAAATCAAAATTCAAGTAGCTCCTCTTCATTGGCAGAAGAGATACACTGCAACTGTACTGTGCTCAACTGAACTGAATTGATAGGGATGGAGCCATCTGAGGAGTGGAGGCATGGCTGCTGGTACTTGCTTCACTGGCAGCCATTTGATAGGCCCTTGCAGAGCAAAGCACTGCCACTGTATTGAAAACAACTTGGGAATGTTATACCAGGTCTACAGGCGGAGGAGAAAAAGCAACAAACAAAAAAAGATTCTGTTCCGAAAGGAGCCATTTGTTGGGACAAAATTACAACCGTCTCCTCCTGCCTTACCTACCTGCTTCTGTAACAATTCTTGGTCCTCTCAATGAGACAAGCCAGGAGTCCTGGCAACTGTCAACCCTGCAGACAAACACTTCTTGATGAGCAAGGTTTGTGGGAAATGCAGAGAGAGGACAGTGATGTGGCTGAGCCCTTTCATGATAGTTTTTATCTCGGTGCACTGGATTTGTAATCAAGGAATAAACTTGAATGTTGTTGTTCTTCCGAATTGAAAAATGAAGAAAGATTGTCTGATTTCAAACAGGTTGTTTCCTACTTTAAAAAGTTAACAGAGAGATATCTGCCTGTGTGGTAAGACCAGAAGCTTTTGCCTCACATCCTGTTGACCTGGCACCATCTGTCTTGGATCAATCAAGTCTGGATTGTGTTTCATTCCTGAGGCAGTAGCTATGTGTTGTGCTGAGTTGGAAACTTCCCACGTCTCCAAGTACAAAATGAGACATTAAAGAAAATGGTATTTTAAGAAAACAGAGAAAAGGACTGGTTTTATTTTAAAATAAAAGGTATATAAATACACATTTCTCCCATTGACAGCATAGAAAAAAAGCCCATTTCCTTTGAAAAAGATTCACCTGGGCACCGGATTTCCATTCATGCTATTCGGTCAAAGTATTCCTTCTGCATCCCCTACACCAAACGATTCTTCTTAAATCTTTGACGGTTCAGAATTTCTAATCCATATTTTTGTTACACTTCTTTATTTAAAAAGTTTATCTTTTATATCATGATTAACTGGGTAAACTCTGAGGAAGAGAAGCAACAATGCTTATGAAGTAAATATATTTTAAAAACGCAGGAATAAAAGATACATATCCACGTATCAATTCAGTCTTTCTAGTAAGTGTACAGTAATTGCATCTTTGCTGAATCATTTCAAAGGTGCTCAAACCATAGGCACAGTCATGTCAAGAAGCCAACTAATTGCTAGGATAACAAATTGATGTTGCCACATGATCTGTATCACGTCTCAATGGCAGAGCTGATGGTCAACAGTTAGAAAGAGCAGCAAATGGTAACAATGCGAGGAAACAGCAAATGTCAGGAGTGATAGAGATAACAAGATGTAAGGCTGGATGAACACAGCAGGCCAAGCAGCATCAGAGGAGCAGGAAGGCTGACGTTTCGGGCCTAGATGTCGTGTTCTGTGCAAAACTGTACCAAGTCTTGCTGTCTGAGCATACCACACAAAAACAGTGCATCACAGTGGGAGAGTTATACATATGTTAGAATGCAGTACAAAAACAGCCACCTTGTTTAAATAAGTAATTTCTCATCTGTCTCTCTATAAATGCAAAACTAAATATCTCTTGACATTATTCACTTTCTTTTGGGAATAAAAGTGCCCCGATCAATGGATCTTTGTGGTGCTCAACAGTCTTTTGAAAAGTTTCAAGATGCAGAGAATTTTCTTACATTTAACATAAGGAATTAATAGACTACTAAAGTCAACACTATATCTTTCAGTGAACTTATGTGGCTTCAAAGATCCAATCTACATCATTATGAGTACACTGACCTAACAAATGTAGCTACAAAACCTCTAGCTCTGAAACAAAACACTTCATTAATTAGCAAACTCCCTGCTTTTTCAGTGAAGCATTTCATAAGACTGGACCAAATTCTGAGAACCAATTTCCATTAGAATGATCCCTGAAAGCCACATGATGCAACAGGTACCCAAGCAAAACATACTTCAGAGGGAATGACTCCACAATCCTTGCTTCCAAGATGGTTCTCATGCTTGTAGCTTCATGTCAGAATCTCAGTTTTGCAAAATCATCTTTATAAATCAATTTGTTGAAAAGAGCCTTAGCAAACATTTTTCTTAATTAAGGAGAAATGCAATTTTCGTAGAATATTTACGATTGCGAGGAACATTTCCAGTTTTCTAACCAGCCCAACTCTATTTCAATAAAACCTGTCAATGGATAGGGTTATAAAACAAGAACCTTCCTCAAGTCTTCATATAGCAGTGAACAGCGCGATCTTCATGTCAGACGGATTCTGGATGGGTGGGTGGAGTCGGCAGCGGGCGGGAGGGTTGCGAAGGCAGTGAGTGACATTAAGAATCTGAACAGGAACCATGTTGTATTGTAGACGGTGTGGCTACAGGGGGGCAATTCACAATACAGAGTAGGGAACATCAATCCAACTCTGACAAGTTACATCTTCTTCGGAATTCCTGCCCACGCTCATGGATCCATTTATTAGACACTGGAAAATAGTCAATTGGACGCAAACTTTGGTTAAAGCATGCCATTTCCCACTAGCCAGGAAACTAGCCCCACCTTCTTGGAAGAAACTACCCCTTGTCTACCACACCATCGTACTGTGTACTAAAAATCTACAAACAAGTAGCAACATGAGCATGTAACTTAAAGGTGTCCCATGTAAATATAGGCCCAGTGGGTAGTCTAATGATTTGTGTAAGGAGACCCTAATTCATTTTTTGCTCCAAGCTGAGAGTTCAAAACCCAAAATGCAGTCCTACTAAATTCATTGAATGAGGTCCTACCTGTCCTTGTTTTTTCCCCAAAAGCTTTATCACTCACAAGACGTAGGCAAGGCTAGCATTTTTAGCCCATCCCCTAGTGGCTTGCCATAGAATCATACATTATAGAAGAGGCCCTTTGGCTCATCAAATCTGTACCACCAAAAACGTACTATGACCTACACTGGTCCTATTTCCCTGCAATAAGCCCACAGTGTTGAATATTATGACTCTTCAAGTACACATCCAAGTACTTTTCAAAAAGGTGTGAGGTTTCCCACCCTACCAGCTTTCCAGGCAGTTCATTCCAGACACTCTCAAACCTCTGGGTGAAAAAGCTTTTCCTCAAATCCCCTCTAAACATCCTGCCTTTCACCTTAAAATTGTGCACCCCTGTTATTGACCTGATCTATGCCATCTAGATCCATGATGCTTCCGGTGCCAGATATTTCGTTCACAAATGGTTAAATCATGGAAATTATAATTTCAAAATGCCTTTGATAATTTAATCCATCTTTTAGTTTCCATCCATGAATAATCTGGGCAGCATGAACAGAAAACTCAGTGGGGAAATATGGAAAACAGAAATCGATTCGCGAGAAACTGGAACATGAAGCTAGACTTGAAACTCTCACTGATTGTTGTGAAAATCCACCTGGTTCACTAACTGATGAAAAAGATCTGCCATTCTTACCCAATCTTGGCCTACAAGTGACTCTAGACCCATAGCAATGAGGTTGATTCTTTAACAGTCCTTTGAAATGGCCCCAGCACGCTGTTCAGTTCTGAGGCAGTGGGGATTGGGAATAAATACTGAACTCACCAGTGACGCCTGTATCCAATGAAAGAATAAAAAACCTCCTCATTGCAAAATTCAATGAACAGCCACTCCAAAAATATTGTAATTAGTTATGCAGGGAGCTGGAAGAATGAAACTCAGGAGAATCAGTTAACACCATCTAATAATTTACTTTTTTTCAGTTTCCAGTATATTTCAGGTGATTGTGGGGCCAACGTGCTTCAGCCCTAATGGCTCCAATTGGCCATTGTGACCCAGGAAATATCGGGTTCAAAGATGCTGCCAAAGGCATAGGGTACACTTCATTTTTCTATAGTCCCTTCATTTATTCATGGGATATCGGCGTTGTTGATGAGGTAATCATTTATTGTCCATCCCTAATTGTCACTGAGAAAGTCATGGGGAGTTGCCTTCTTGCATTGCTGCAATGGATAGGCTGGGACGTTTTCCACTGGAGCATCGGAGGTGGAGACATATAAAACCATGAGGGGCGTAGATGGGGTTAATGGTAGGTATCTTTTCCATAGCGGGGGATGGGGGATTTCAAGACTAGCAGGCACGTTTTTAGGTGAGAGGAGAGAGATTTAAAAGAGACATGAGGGGCAAATTTTTCGCACAGAAGATGGTTTGTGTATGGAATGAACTTCCTGAGGTGGTGGAGGAGGATGTGTTATGACATTTAAAAGACTATTAGGTAGGAATATGAATAGGAAAGGTTTGGAGGGATATGGGCCAGCAGTAGGTAGGTCAGACGAGTTTAGTTAAGGATTATATTCGGCATGGACTAGTTGAGGCCAAAGGGTTTATTTCCATGCTATATGACTCTATGTGCTGTAGATAACCCTGTGGTGCTGTTAGGGAGGCAGCTCCAAGCTTATAACCCAGTGCATCAACGACCAATGTCACACCACCATTATAAAAAAACCCAGTCATTCTATGTTTCCCTCCTGTCCAAAGTGCCTGGGGCATACTTGAAAACTGGACAGGGTGTGATAATTGAAACTAGAAGCTCTGGGGAAACTGTAGGCGCTAACCTTTAACCTGGTAATCCATGATTTAACATTCAATGAGCTGCTGCTTCAGAGTCAACTCCATTACTTCAACTTCTCTTGACCCTGTTTCCTCCCCTCTTCCGTAAACAGAGAGCTTGTACAGAACTCTTCAGTTCGGAAGTCATATCGGACTTGAAATTACCTCTGTTTCTTTTTCCACAAATGCTGCCAGACCTGCTGAGTTTCTCCAGTACTTTATTTTTACTTCAGAGAAAACTTTTGCTGCCCACATTTCGATCCACTTAACCCACAGCAAGTGGACTGCAGCAGTTTAAGAAGGCAGCTCCACCACCTTCTCAAGGGTAACTAAGGATTGACAATAAATGCTGGCCAGTCAGCGATGCCCACATCCCATGAATGAATTAAAAAAAACTGCCTCCAGGCCTACAACACCCCAGTCACCTAACTTTGATCTCTTGAGCTGCATCACCCCATGAACCAGGAATTTCTTTCCTAAACCCACTAACTCTCGATCTCCTTCTTTGCCCCAGTGAACTGTTTTACACAAATTCAATATTTTGCATAGCTCCAAAGAAAAAGACCGGCTAAGATTATGTGGTCTTTGAAACAAAATAGGTAACAGTGCTATGTCATGAGTTCTAAGGAAATGCCTGTGGTGTACAGTGTGTGCTGTATTTCATAGTTGTTCCTTGTTGGCTACCCATTGTTATTTGTAAGGATATGGTAAAATCTGTGAATTAATCAGAAGGGCGAGATTACCCCTGACAATTATGCTATACAATTTATGAGGCTGACACATACCCACGACTCCTCCTGATGTACAGCATATTTCTGTACTTACCCCATTTGTTTCCAACTAATACTGGGCAAGCTGCATGTCGGGTGCTGTAATCACCTTCTCCACTGGGAAACAGATTGTACCAAAATACTGCTGAGCCCTGCAATACATCCAATATATTTCTCAAAACTTTAAGCAAATGAACTCATTAATACACACAGTGAGTGCAACAATGATCTGAAGCATTCCTGCAGCTTTTGCCAAATGCCCATGAAGGATAACTGAAGAATTATATAAACAATCTTGAAACCAAACCAGAATTAGCCCTACCTGGAACACACACTCGTACATTCAATAGAATTACATCCAACTTTAATACCGAGTAATCAAATTAAGCAGATAGATCTGAATTGGGATTTTTTACATCAAGGGAAAATCAGTACTGTCAGGGTTGCAACAAAGCATAAATCATTTCTTAACAAACTTGCAATCACAGTGTCACAGCTTAATAAACCATGAACATTGCCATGTTCTTTTATATAGCGAGGAATGACTAATTTCTCCACCAAAAACACAGACACCATCAATTGCACCTGGGCTCACACTTGCAATGCATTTCTGAAGGCATGTTTCATTGGTGGAGATTTGAGTGAGATGCCAAACCAAACCTCTGCCTGCTGCAGCGGATCAAATAAACATTAAAGATTTCGCTGTGCCATTTAAAGAACAGGGAGTTTCCTGATATTATGCTCAATAAACTTCACCAACAAGCTTGAACTGGCCACTCATTCCACATCGTCTTCAAAGTGCTTCCATCTCTTGTTACCTCATTGACCCAGTGCATGCAGGTCGGTTCTTTCTTGATGAATTTCTTTGTAAAGTTTGAGATGGTTAAAACCTCTAAACAAATTCCAATCTTTCTTTTCTATTTATGTTTAAGTATCCAACATACATACAAACCAGAAAAATCTAAATTGGTAGCAGGGAGTTAATTTAGCTCTAGAACAGCAGTTTCGATTGATGTTGAATGTGCTAATTAAAAAGTCAGCTAAATACTGCACTGCAAGAACTATGTATTTAAAGCTCCCTTGAATGTTTCTCATTCCCATCTTGCCCTGCGACGGGGCAAGATACCTCTGATGTTGTCCATTGCTAAGGAAAAAGTATATTTTCATTTATATATCACCTTTCACATCTTCAGGACGTGCCAAAGCTAATAAATCACCTTCCAAACTTTGTCACTGTTGCAATTTCGATAAATGCAACAAGTAACGTGTGCAAAGCAAGACTGTTAGAGCTCCCCCATGCCTATTTGTGAAGAACACATAGACTAGAATGCTTTGATGAAGACTCTTATTGCTTGTCACAGACATTACATGTCCACTCTAAACAGACTCCCTCTGTGCTGGCTGGATCTTCTTTATATAGACACCTATGTACATTGTTTGCATAATTAAGAAACAAAGATAACCAAATCAAACTAAAACATTACGGCACTCTAACTTAAAAAGAAAACTAGGTGATTTGTAGATTCAAGTCCTCTTTTAGAGATATGTATTTGAGTTTTTTAACATCAACCGATTTGGACATGTTATGACACACCTCTGACCTTCTGATCCAGAGGTAAGGACTGTGCCACTGCATCACAAGAGCCCTTGTACATAGCCAAGTGATTATTTTTAATCAAACTGTTCAGACAAGTTATGACATACCTCTGAAGTTGGTTGGACTCGAACACACAACTCTGGTTCAGAGGCAGGGACACGTCCATTGTGCCACAAAAACCCTATCCCATAGCCAAGTACAATTCACCAACCAATACTCAATGCCTGCTACTGCAATGCCTGTTACCTTCAACTAATAGGTATTTAACATCCATCTGCAGAACCTGTGAAAAACCAACAAAGGTTCCACAAAAGAGTTGCAAGATGAGTGGCCAGATTATTTGTTTTGGTGGATATTACTGTTAACCCAGATTCTTGGAGATCTCCACTGCCCTTTCCTCTTCAAACAGGCGTTGGAATGCTGTACTTTGGCCAGACCAAACAAGTAGGCATTAGTTAAATATGTCAGCTGAAAGACAATACCTCTGATGATACTGCACTCCTCTCTATTATGTGCCCAAGTTCTGAGGTGGAATTTGAGCTCTCAATCTGAACTAAAGGATGAAAGTGTTACCTCAAGCCTCCAATTCTTTGCATGACCAGCTTGTAACATGCACGAGTATCCTGACTTAGTTTACATGACGCAAGAAATTAGACATTTAAAAAAGATACCTTTCAGAATAAAGTATGCAATTCTGTGGAATTAACGGGCATAACATAATGCCACCTTGGCAGTGAAACTATTTTCCTTTTCCCTCTGGAAAATGAACTAGTCCTTAGAAAAACAGAGCTATTTGGATGTTTAAATCCCTAATTCAATAAGAATGGCATCTCAGTGAGTGCCTGGCCAGAGCTAGAAGTAAACTAAAAATTGACCTTAAGTTAAACTGATGGGAGAGGGGAAGAGGTGTCAATCAGACTGCTCAAACACCTTACACTTGTATTCATTGATTAGAAAGATTCAAACAAGTAATTGACATACGAGCCCTGAGGAATAAACAATGTTAACAAGTGCTTGGAGAAAGTTCTTGTCAGGCAGATGGAGGAAGATCAGGCAAGAGGTCCCTAACAGAGACATAGACTCGTACAGCATGGAAATAGACCCTTTGGTCCAACTCGTCCATGCTGACCAAGTTTCCCAAACTAACCTAGTTGTGCTTGCCTGTATTTGGCCCAATCCCTCTAAACGTTTCCTATTCATGTACCCATCCAAATGTCTTTTGAATGTTGTAACTGCACTTGCATCTACCACTTCCTCTGGCAATTCATTGCACATACAAGCCACCCTGTGTGTGGAGAAGTTGCCCCTTAGGTCCCTTTTAAATCTTTCTCCGCTCACCTTAAAAATATGTCCCCTAGTTTAGAACTCACCCACCGCAGGGAAAAGACCTTTGCTATTCACTTTATCTATGCCCCTCATGATTTTACAAACCTCTCTAAGGTTACCTCTCAACCTATGCGCCAGTGAAAATAGTCCCAGCCTATCCAGCCTCTCCTTACAACTCAAATCCTCCAGTCCTGCACTTCGGCTAGTGAGCAGAATGCTGCTGAGACAAGATATTGAGATCAACACACTGTGTCAACTATCCCTTTGTCCTTTGAAACCAGTGAATCACCTTCAATTGTTGCAGGCTTTTATACTTCTCCTATCTACTTAGCTAATGCATCATATCTAAACTGTTGCGACCTCGAAAACACTTACTAATACTTGACCACCAGTTTTGGGTATTTGTGGTTCCTGAACCCAAAATCTTACAAATCCACCAATCATATTGTATTAATGAGAAGTTTTGAGAAGAAAGGTTAACTAGGTCAACCAATTTTCTGACTGACAGTTCACACCAGTGAGCTGCTCCTTTCCCCACCCACACCCCATTTTGAATAATACAAATACAGTTTACAGCTGAGCTTAAACACACTATCATTCTGCTATACCTTCTGATTCTGAATGGTTAAGTCAGGCTATTTTGAAATACAATTCCTTTCATCAGTGTTACAAATAGACATTAGTTGTTGTTTAGGCATTTGATAAAGTCTCACTAAGAGATTGAGGGCAAATTACTGCCTTGGTTGGGAAATTGGTTGAATGGCAGGTGATGGACAATAAGGTTATGGGTAGTTACTCAAATTGGCAGAATGAGACCAGTCGTGTCTCACAAGGATCTGCGTTAGGGCCTCAGTTATTCACACTATTTATTAATGAATTGAATAGTACAGAAAGTCATATATCCAAATTTGCTGACGACACAAAGTTCGGTGGCATTGTAGACAGTGTAGATGATAGCGTAAAATTTCAAAAGGATATTAATAGACCAAGTGAATGGCCGACATGGAATTCAAGGAAAGCAAGAGTGAGGTTATCCATTGTGGAACAGCAAAGGTCAGATCAGAGGATATTCTAGACGCTATGAAGTTTAATACAATGGATATCCAAAGACATTTGGGGGTTCAGGTACATAGATCTTTCAAATGTCGCAGCCAGGTGCAGAAAATAATCAAGAAAGGTAATGAAATGCTGGCTTTTATATCTAGAGGGCTGGAGTACAAGGATACAAAAGGTTATGCTGCAGTTATACAAAACACTGGTTAGACTCCACTTGGAGTACCGTTAACAGATCTGGGCACTACACCTTAGCAAGGATATATTAGCCTTGGAGGAAGTACAATGTAGATTTACAAGAATAATACCTAGACTTCAGGGGTTAAATTATGAGGAAAGAATGTACAAATCAGGCCTGTTTTCTCTAGAGTTTAGAAGGTTAAGGGGTGATCTGATCAATGTCTTCAAGATACTAACAGGAACAGACAGGGTTGATAAAGAGAAACTACTTCCACTGGTTGGGGATTCAAGAACTAGGGCTCACAGTCTGAGAAATAAAGCCAGTCCATTCAGGAGAGGGGTTAGAAAGTGCTTCTACACACAAAGGGTGGTAGACGTTTGGAACTCTCTTCCACAAATGGAGATGTTTGCTCAGTTGTTAATTTTAAATCTGAGATAGATAATTTTTTTTTAGCAAAAGGCATTAAGATATATGGGCCAAAAGGCAGGTGTATGGAGTCAGGCCACAGGTCAGCCATGATTTCATTGGACAGCGAAGAGGCTCGAAGGGCTGAATGGCCTACTCCTGTTCCTGTGTTCCTGAACTTGCTGTGGTTGCATTAGTTTTTCATGATGATCAATAGGTTCTCTCCAATTTGATAAATCCCAAATGTTACTCTTCTCATTTGGATAACACAGTGTTAAACTAACAAGAATAATGAACACAGGACAGAACCAGAGAACAGGAAAATGCAAGGGCATGGAGGTGCAAGGAAAAGACGTGAGAGCACGTGTGGGAAACAAGTCCCGGATTGTAGAAGGAGAGACAAAAATCAATTCAAGTACCTTTTGTGGCCATACTGCTGCTCCTACTTCAGGGAAAACTGTGGCTCCACCAGCTGCTACATCACTCATCTGGCAGAGTAAAATCAAAATTGAAGACTAAGGAACAGTGCCAAATATTCAATAAAGGCTGTTTAACAGATTGTACAATTAATGTCATGCTACAAATAAAATTTAATAAACATCCAAACTGTCATCTTTATTACAAATATCTGATACTTCTTCAAGCATCAGGATGTATGAAGAGACCCCCATCAAATGGCGAAATAATTATAGTCTGGGGACTGAAATATATCTGCCAGCTCTGCTCCCATTGTCTCAAGGTCCAAAACCTCTAATTCAACCTCATTCAGTACTCTTCAGGCTCAATACCATATAAAGTATAAATACAACGTTGCCTATATGTGGGATCTGCCCCCAGCATCTCACTCAAAAGTTAAAATGTAGGATGCAATGCTTTCTTGCGAGTTCTGCCTGATGGTTCTAGGTTTGAAAGCTCTCCTTCAGCACTGGCTTTCAGCTGTTGTTTTGAGCAAACTGTATTGGCAAACAATGAAGTGACCTGGCCCCGTACTCCTGTCGCAGGGTGGTGGGGGATTCTGAGTGGACGTGAGTTATAAAAGAAGTTCAAGCTGAAGAAATGTTGAGAATGTAAATTGAGTGCTCATTCTGTAGCAATAACCCCCTTGCATAACAGGGCAACGCATTTCAGAGTTTTGTCCTATGATTTTAAGTGCATTTTTGCACTTCAAGTAACTGGCAGCATTCATGTTCCTTAAAACCAACAGTAGGATTCAGCTGAGCTTCTGTTCTCAGCAGGGCCTCTGTGGTGAAATGCAAAGCAGAACGAAAGGAGAGATAAAATGGACTGTCCTCTTAGAAGTAGCTAAAGTGCCTCAAACATTTTTTTTCCCCCAAATATATAACAGAACACACAACAGCTGTTTTAAAGGCACTTTCATTCTTGTTACTCCAACACGTCACTAACTAAATTGCTGAATTAATTGTTCAGATTCAATCAACCAAATGGCAGAACAGATTTACTTACATAAAATAACCAGGTGGCAATCCTGTTTCCAGTCCCCAATTCTTTGAATGCATCGGGCTCGTCTTTCTATTTAGAGGAAAGAAAGTTGCTGTTGATGCAATGTCAGTAATATAGGCCATGAAACTTTACAGTGCCAGTATTAATGATGGCAATTCATTTTACACACAACTCATTTGCCATCTTAACAGAAGCACTAACCCATAAATGCTTAGACAATGGATTCACCTCTCCTTTATTATAGCAGACAAAAGCAATTCCACAAACACATTAGATTATTGGAGACAACAAGGTGCAGGGCTGGATGAACACAGCAGGCCAAGCAGCATCATAGGAGCAGAAAGGCTGACGTTTCGGGCCTAGACCCTTCATCAGAAAAGGGGGAGGGGAAGGGGGTTCTGAAATAAATAGGGAGAGAGTGGGAGGCGGATAGAAGATGGATAGAGGAGAGGATAGGTGGAGAGGAAACAAACAGGTCGAAGAGGCGGGGATGGGGCCAGTAAAGGTGAGTGTAGTTGGGGAGTTAGGGAGGGGATAGGTCAGTCCAGGGAGGACAGACAGGTCAAGGGGGTGGGATGAGGTTAGTCGGCAGGAGATGGGGGTGCGGCTTGAGGTGGGAGGAGGGGATAGGTGGGAGGAAGAACAGGTTAGAGAGGCGGGGACGAGCCGGACTGGTTTTGGGATGCGGTAGGGGGAGGGGAGATTTTGAAGCTTGTGAAATCCACATTGATACCATTGGGCTGCAGGGTTCCCAAGCGGAATATGAGTTGCTGTTCCTGCAACCTTCGGGTGGCATCGTTGTGGCACTGCAGGAGGCCCAGGATGGACATGTCATCTGAGGAATGGGAGGGGGGAGTTGAAATGGTTCGCGACTGGGAGGTGCAGTTGTTTATTGCGAACCGAGCGTAGGTGTTCTGCAAAGCCGTCCCCGAGCCTCCGCTTGGTTTCCCCGATGTAGAGGAAGCCACACCGGGTACAGCGGATGCAGTATACCACATTGGCAGATGTTTTGCAGATCTCAGTTTGAATGACATTGCGATTCTGCTCAGTGATACATCACAGAAAAAGCAAAACAAGCCATGCGTTTGATCTGGCATGTTTTCCAGGTAACATTCTGGATAAAATTAAAATCAGACGTTTGTTTCTGGCCCTACATCCAGAGTCCATTCTGACTCCACCTTGTACTTTCCCAATCTCTGTTCTCCTCATGATGTGTGCTCATTGTATCTTAAACTTTATTAATTCTCCATGAACACTTCTCTTTCAGGTCAAGGGCCTAAACACTGCACTCTTCCATACAGGCTGAAGGAGCTCTGTTTCAATTCAAGAGTGGAAAATAGTCAAAATGGTACACTAAAGTCATCATCTTGGAGACATGACAGGGAATCATCTCCTGGCTGGAATCCATAAGATAGCCAGCAGGAGTCTCAAGTCCACAATACAGACAGAACATAGAATGAAGGGCTATAAAGAGCATGCTACCTCTTACTGTTACAGCTGCAAAATTTAAGGACTTGCATGCAAATAAACCTCCTTCTATGAAACATAACATACTGTTATGGGCCAGACCACCCCCCTCAAATATATCAAGGAGATAGCTTAGACCCTAACTTTTATCTTACTTAAAGGCAAGTGTAAGGTACTGTGTTCCAGATATAATTTGATTGGTTACACTATCTGCCAGTTTTTGCATTTTGGCCTGAGTTTTCCTTACTCCCAAATGACCTCCTACTGGTAATTCATGTACTACCCACTGGTAATACAACTTGATGAACTTCTGCTCATTTCTCATGCACCTGAATATGTGATGGTCTCCATTTCCTCATCAAGATGTTATTTTTAAGGTAGTAACATTCTGGAATACACTCAGATTCTTCTTCTGTGTATGATTTTTGATACAACAGCTTTAGTTTTTCATCTTTCCATTATAATTTAGTTAATTTCTCTGAACTAAAAATATCCACTTTGTGCTCTACCTGTTCTTGAATTTTTTCCAACCATTTAATCAAACATAGTTTCTGATTATTGAACTTCAACTTCCGTAACTTTATTCTTTGATTTCTCCTCCTGCCTCAACCTGTGGCTTTGTGACTTTGTTACCACATCAGAAAAATCCCAGGATATACTTCCTATAACATCGCAGTTACCTGATTTTCCACCGGCTTTTCAACCACAGTAGACATCATTCCCACCAGTGATCCAGTGATATCATTACAAGGATAAACTGTATTCCTGGAACTGAGAACTTCTCTTTACTCCAACTATCACTTCACCACTTTTCACTGGACTCTCTAACCTCACTTTAAATAATGGAGCACCATTAATTCCATGTATTACTATCTTTTCTGGCAAAACTCCTTCTGAATTACATATCTCCTCATCTCTCACCATCAAATATTGACTTGCTCCCATGTCTCTGAAAATTTTAACTTCTTTACCTACTCCTCCTGGCACACATGAACAAATCTTACCCTTGCAAGTAAATTCTTTAAGAGAGATTTGGCACTTTCTTCTCAACCAACCCCTGATCAGGCTGTACAGTCCAGCTGTTAAGATTGCACTGTGCTTTCCTTTACCGCTTCAACAAAACTCACTGGCTTTATCCTGTTTTCCCACATCCATCTTCCCAGTGCTTTTTCTAAACCAACAACACTGCGACTCCATGTGGCCTGCTTTATTGCAATGAAAATACCTAAGCTTGTTCACTTCTCTTTCCACCTTCATGGGTTTCCTTTTTAGCGTGAGGTAAACTATCTTTACTATCTTCAATGACATCTCCTTTTCCCTTACCACCTGAGGATTTCTCTTTTCCCCAATTTCTATCCTTCACAGATTGAAATTGATTTCAGAAGCCAAACTTTGATTTCTGAACTAATTCATAACCATCTGCCATTTCCTCTGCTAACCTTGCAGTTTAACTCTCTGCTTTCCACGAGTTCTCACTACCACAGGAAGTGAATTTTTGAACTCCTCCAAAATGAGTCTCTCTAAGAATGTAATATGTCTGATCTATTTTCAATGCCCTTACCCAACTATCAAAATTACTTTGCTTGATACTTTCAACTTCAATGTATGTTTAACCAGGTTCCCTCCTCAGATTCCTGAAACGTCATCGGTGGGCCTCTGGCACTAGTTTATACGTACTTAAGATGGCTTTTTTCACCTCATCATACTTCCCAATTAGCTCCTGTGATAGTGATGCAAATACCTCACTAGATCTACACCTAACAATTTGATTTGAATCAATAATACCCATATGGTCACCGGCCATTTTATTTGTTTAGCCACTTCTCAAATGAAATAAGCTTCTACGTTGCTCTCTTTGGCAATGGTTGGACATATTTAAATAGATCCTCACCAGTCCTTTGGCTAAATGGGTTTGCTCTTCATCACTGTCCCTATCACTCCTCCTACCTTCTACTTTCACCATTTTAAGTTGACATTCCGCTTTCATTGTCAACTTCTGAAATTCAAAATCTTGCTCTTTCTCCTTCTCGTCTGCTAGGGTCTTCCTTTCTTTTTCTTCTGCTTTTAATCGTAATTCAAACTGTTTCATTTCCTTTTCATATTCCGGCTATTCAGCACCTCTGTCTCAACCTCTCTTCATTTGAAAAAAAAACAGGATAAAATATACCTCAAAGCCATAATATCGTTACAATTCGCACTTTGACTACAAAACACAAATCCACTTAATTTCCTGTCTACAAACGACTATTTCATATTCATTCAATTTTAAACAAGTAAAACCAATTGCTCTATAAAATTCTTGCTGAATTCTTTCTTCAAATTATTTATATAATTTATAAAATATAAACTATCAACCTAAACATATTTTTGCATTACAAATTACACATAAGAGCAGCTAAATTTTAATTTTTTTTAAATGTGTGTCCTGGTTCAGGAACTGTACAAAGCAACAAGAGAACAGCTTCCCCAATCCAATACAAATATTCTCCTCCATTGTAATGTATTCACATCTGTCCATAGAATGATGTAATATCAAAACAATATTTTCTTTTTCTAGGCCAGTATTCATTACTCTACTATAATTGCTCTCAAAAAGATAGAGATTTCTTGAATTGTTGCAGCCCATTTGGTGTAGACAGACCCATAATTCCATTAGGGAGGTAGTTCCGAAATTTTGACCACAAAGAAACAGTGATACAGTCAAAAGTCAGGTTACTTAATGTAGATTTCCCAGGCTCTGACAAGCTCTTGTACCCAGTATTGATGTGGCTAGTCCAGTTCAGTCTCTGGTCAATGGTAACCCTCTGGATGCTGATGGTGGATTACTCAATGATGGCAATGTCATTGAATACCAAGAGACAATGGTCAAGATTCTCTTTCATTGGAGATCGTCATTGCTGGCATATATGTGGTTTGAATGTTACTTGCGACCTTTCAGCCCAGGTCTTGCTGCATTTGAACATGGGATGTAGTATCTGAAGAGTTACAGATGGTGCTGAACAAGGTCCAACCATTAGCAAACATCCCATTTCTGGCCTTGAAATGGAGGGAAGGTTGTTGATGAAGCAGCTGAAGATGGCTGGGTCTAGGACACTATCCTGAGGAAATCCTGAAGAAATGACCTGGAGCCAAGATGTGTGATCTCTAACAACCACAACCATCTTCCTTTCTGCCAGGGATGACTCCGAACAGGAAAAGAGATTTCAATTCACACTGACTTCAGTTTTAACAGGGCTCCTTAATGCCACACTCGGTTTAATACAGCCTTGATATTTGTTACTCTCACCACCTCTCTGGGGTTCAGCTCTCTTGTCCATGTTTGAAGCAAGGTTATAATGAGCTCAGGTATGAGTGGCCCTGGAGGAAAGCAAACTGAGCATCAGATAATAGGTTATTGCTAAGCATGTGCTGCTTGACAGCACTGTTGACTACCCCCTCCATCACTGATGGGGTGGTAACTTGTTGGGTTGGATTTGTCCTGCTTTTTTGCACACAGAGCATACCTGGGCAATTTTCCACATTGCTGGGCAGATGCCAGTGTAGTAGCTGTACTGGAATAGCCTGATGCAGATAAATTCTGGAACACAAGTCCTCAGTACTATTTCCGGAGTATTGTCAGGGCCCAAAGTCTCTTGTGGTATCCAGTTGTTCTTGACATCATGTGGAATGAACTGAATTGGCTGAAGATTGGCATCTGTAATGTTAGGGACCCCCAGAGGATACGTGAAAGTAATGAATTCAAAAATATTCATAATCACAGGAAAACAATTAGAAATGGCTGTGGTCAAGATCCTATATCTTGAAGGCATTGATTTTTTTCTATTCATTCATGGGATGAGGGCATCGCTGGACAGGCCAGCATTAATTGCTCATCCTTAATTGCCCAGAGGGCTGTTAAGAGTCAACCACATTTGTTGTGAATCTGGAGTCATATGTAGGCCAGACGAGGTAAAGATGGCAGTTTCCTTCCCTAAAGGACATCAGTGAACTAGGTGGGTTTTTCCAACAACCGGCAATGGATTTATGGCCATCATTAGACTCTTAAATCCAGATATTTATTGATTCAAATTCCACCTGATGCCGTGGTGGGATTCAAACCCAGGTCCCCAGAACAATACCTGGGTCTCTGGATTAGCAGTCTAATGATAATACCACTAGGCTATTGCTTCCTCATCCTCAGGTCTTAAAAGAAGTAGGTACAGAGACAGCAGATACATTGAATGTGACCTATCAAAATTTTCTAGACTCTGGAAAGATCTCAGTGGATTGAAGAATTGCTATCGTAACACCTCTATTTCAGGAAAGAGGGGCTGAGAATGCACTAGCCAGAAATCTGATGTGCAGGTCTGATTGACAATACACATTAAAATACACACATAAATCAAGAATTACATCAACTTCGTGGATAATGCATGGAAACTTCTGTATGGCCAGTAATCTACTCTCTTCTCTTCAAGTTGCCAGCTGTCCAAAAATCTTGATGATAAGTCTTGATTTATATTGGTTCCTGAATTTTGTGACATGAATCCATCACTTAGCATGTAACAAGTAAAAAGAATTAATTACGCTGCAATTATCTATTGATTAACCAACATATTTTCCCAAATGAGATGCTGCCCTTATCATGCAATGCTAGAGCTAGTTTACCCATGCAAGCTCATTATAAAAAGCGGGTGGTTTTGGGATAGTTGCAACTTCTAAGATGCTACTTGCCCGTGCAAAGTCATGGTGGGGCTCATACTGCCCTCCCACGCCATAATTAGCCACCTGGAAAAAGAAACAAATGGTGGGGAAAAAAACAGGCTGAAAAATAAAATAGTGACACACTTACCCGTCCAAAGTCAAAGTGAGGCTCATACTGGCCCCCAACCCCATAATTGGCCACCTACGGCAGAATGAGAAGTCAGACAGAACCAGTCCATTTCACAAGCACCAAGTGTTATTGAGAAGGTTACAGTACAGTGAAAAAGTAGTAGATTCTCAGGCCACGCCAGCAACCTATGGTTCTAACGTCATTATTATCCTAAGGAAATTAATTATTATTAATCTGCAAAGATAGGGAACCCACCCCAACTCATTACTTGGCCATTTTGCTTTGGGCTTCTGAGTCCAGATCATTTATATGGAAGCAATTTTGGTCCCAGCACAAAGCCCTGAATCCATCTGAAGTTCTTCTTCATCTCCAGCTTACCCCCAATAAAACGTCTACAATGAGTACGTGGTCTTCCTACTCTTTATCCAGTTCCCTTTCATTCCCAAGGTTTCCCCAAATACTCACATTGCTAGGAGTGATCCGTTAAGGACTGAATTGGATAGCCTGATCAGTCAATGTAAATATAGCGTTATGGCTAACAAAAATCATTTTACATCTATCTAAAAGATAAATGACTTTCTATCAGGATTACATGGAGTATAAGGCTCATCTAAAGAGAACTTTGCTTCAAATGAAAAGTTCAACCAAGCATTTCTTTGAAAGCCTTCTGCTTTTAGTGACTTCGCTTGAAGGATAAAGGCTGGCCTGAACACCATGAAAAATTCATTCCTCTTCACAAATCGATTTAGCTAACAGAATGAAAGTTTATATAAAATCAAATATTGTGTAATGTTATGGCAGCAACATGCAGTGGAATAAAATTTGGTCTGAATAAATGCATTTCTCTCCATTCTCATCTTCCTCCTGAAACATATTGTTTGGCATTTCTTTCAAAACAAAACATAATTAACCAGTTGTAGAATCAATCAATTTTCCCAATTGATATTGAAGGTCATGCATCTCCTTGAACGGCTGTGTCCTTTAAAAAAATACTGCAGAAGTTTTCTGTTAACTTCTGGAGCTTTAACCTGCAACATAAAGTTTTGTATCCAAGTTCAGCTAACAGTGTAGCTTCAGTGGTTAGCAAAGTAATGAATAAAATGGAGAGGCAAACTCATCTATGGACAGTGCAAGAACTGTTGGAGTAAAGGTGTAGAGTAATAGAGGAGCACATAAGGTCATAAGACACAGGAGCAGAAGTAGGCTGAAACCAGAAGTTGCTGGAAAAGCTCAGCAGGTTTGGCAGCATCTGTAAAGAAAAGTCCGAGTTAACATTTCATGTCCAGAGATTCTTCCTCAGAAGTAGGCCATTTGGCCCACTGAGTTTGTTCCACCTTACACTGAGCTGGTCTGATAATCCTCAATTCCACTTTGTTAACTTTTCCTCATAAATCTTGATTCTCTTACTGATTAAAAATCTATCAAAACTACAAGGGAAACAAATACTGCTTTATACAGAAAACACAACTGTACTGACCTGCACATTTGGATTGCAGCACATAGCTTGCCAGGACATATTAGAGTCCTAACTTACCACCTAGCATCCTGGCTACTGCAGTTCAGAAGGAAAGGATGGTACCTGGAATTGTAAATTCTACCCTTCATCTTGACTTTTAAAAATTAGAAGTGGTGTGAAAATGTTACCTAAAACTGCTGTGTGTGAGAAAGGTAAAAACAGTGAAGTTTGTAACATTGGCCAAGTTGTTGGCTACCGAAGTGAATAAGATAGGAGTGTTGGAAATAATCAGTGGGCCAGGCAGAGAGAGAGAGAGAGAGAGAGAGAGAGAGAGAGAGAGAGAGAGAGATGAAAACAGAGTTAATGTTTCCAATTAATGACCTTTTATTGGTGCAGGTCTGATGAAGGGGCACCTGCCTGAAACACCGATTCTCAAATGTCAGGTGTGGCAGCCTCTGTGGAGAACTTGAGCCATTTCTCTTGATTTCAATTTTCCAGCCTCCGTAGTATTTTGCTCTGCCTTAGCTACCGAAGTTTGATAACCTCCGATCCTTGTTTTAATTTCCCTGATCGTTTTAACGGATTGTATTCAAAGGCTCTGCCACATTTTTCAAGCCAGATGCTGCTCTATTATTGATAACCTTAATTTATAATATTATGTTTCATTTTTCTAAGAACCACGCAGCAGTAATGGTCATCGCGAATGGGATAAATAACTCTCTCTCTACTCATTAGAATAAAATTTGATTCACCCTAAAACCTTTTTGCACACACCTACCTGCAGCTCCTCTGCTGTGGAAACATCAAGCCCCGTCAGGTCTTGTATCCTCTGGTTAATCCGATTAATCACGGGGTCTTCGTATCCTGACAACCATGCACTGAACAGAGGAAGGAATATGGTTTGTTAAAGATAGTGCATTACGAAGCTTCAGCAGATAGCCCTTGACACAACTATGATAACAGGCTTATCACTGGCATTTTAATACCCTATTCAAGGCAACAGCTTGAAGCCATGAATGTTGGTACTTCTCAGGCTAATATACAACTGTTCTAAAAGTGAGTGACAGAATAAAATTTATCAAACAGTAGTACCTATATGAATAATACTAGCAAAAATAGGTTTAATAAGTAAAAGTTGTTCTTGTATCGTTTTTCTTTGTTACCCCACCTAGAGGGAGGGGTCTGTCTACAGAAAAGACACTTAGATGAGTGAAACTGCCAAACCCTCCTCACCTAGACAGACAAATTATTCCACATGTGGCCATCAAGGACACAGACTCTCGAGCAATAAAAATCAGGTGAGGTCAGTTTTAAATACATGTCTCTCAGAGTAACAACAAACTGTCATTCTCAGCTTCCCTGCAACCACATACAAGTTTCAGGGAATAATCTGGTTAATGCTGCCACATTAACCAGGGTCAAATACAGATTCAAGCTGTTACAATAATTAGCCCTCAAGAACATCACTGTGCACACTGAAGGAATCCTACAAAATATTACAATTTCTTGTCAACGATGAATGAATTGCTCTTTACAGTTAAGCTGCTGCATCTTTGTTCTTGGCCAATTTTCCAGAATACATCGAACTTCAAGCAATTAATTTTCTGGCAACCTTCTCAAAACAAATGTTCAATCACAGCTCTGAAAGTGAAAATTCCATGTGAAATACCAATAACAACAATTCCAATATCATTAACTTACTCTCTACCTCTGAACAATAAGCTGCCTTTAATTAGCTCAATAATAAAATTATAGCTAGGCGTTAACCTCGGCTTATAGGTAGCATTCCTACCTTTGAGTCATAAATTTGTGGTCTTGACAGTGGTTGGAGTAATAACTGGGAGCAGCAATGAGTAAGTGAGAGATATTGATGGTGCTATCTTTTGAATGAATGTCTAATCAACTCCCTCTCTACAGAAGATCTTAAAGAACAAGGAAATTTTCACATTGTCTTATTTATTCATTTGACAATATTTACTCATCGACCAAACCAACATCACAAAAAATGTTGATTATTTGTTCCTTCATATCATTGCTGTTTGACAGAGCCTGTTGTAGGCAAATTGGCTACTGCGATTCCCATATTACAATTGAGTCTACACTTTAAAGGATATACTGTTTCATTGGGACATCCCAAGGATGAGGAAGTCACAAGTTTGCTCCTTCAGACACCAATTGAAACTTATGCTTCAATGAATAAAATGTACAACCTTTATCAGTACATGTCGTGACAGAATCTAAGGCAAAAGAGGTCCCACTGGAGACCCCAGAAGCAGTGAAACCTCCCCCGATTAAGCTGGAGTGCAGAAGGGGGTGACATGAGGTTCTCAGTTGGCACGCTGGATGTCAATTAGATTCATTCTCTTTGCTCTTCAAGATTAAACAGGTCTTTCCATGGCTTTCTCATTCCCCCAGTAAGCTGCCCAGCAGGATCCATTGGGTTTGCTTGTAACCAGCTGGGAGTAAGGGTGAGGCCCGTGTAGTCAGATTGAGGAATCCAGCATTGGGATACACGTGGTGCTGAATACCAACTCCTCCCCTTGCCACTGATCCCTCTGCCTGCCCCTCTCTGTGATCGTCATCTCCTGCTTTCACCTATGGTCTGGGCTCCCTTATTGATCCTTGACTTTGGTGGCTAAATTGACCCAGCAGCCTCTGCTCCCATTGGCAGCATGAAGAACTGCTGGGCCTCTGAAGATTTAGCAGCTCTAGGCAGGCAGGGCTGGCACTGCTGACGACTTCATTCACCCAGAGGCCAATGTCTGAAAGGTGCTCGATTCCAGTGGGGCTTTCCCAAAAACTGATGGTGGTTTTCCAGTTTCTCACCTGTTTTTTTAACTAGTGTGTAACATATTCTCCCACCCATCATCCTGTTTTTTATTTATTCATTTGTGGGATGTGGGCATTGCAGGCTGGGCCAGCATTTATTGCCCATCCCTAGATGCCCTTGAGAAGGTGATGGTGAGCGGCCTTCTTGAACTGCTGCAGGCCACCTGCTGTGGGTTGACCCACAATGCCATTAGGGAGCGAATTCCAGGATTTTGACCCAGCAACAGTGAAAGAATGGCGATATATTTCCAAGTTAGGATGTATCTGCTGCCCTTGTCCTTCTAGATGGCAACATCCCAGCTACATTTTATATATAAAAAGAGCATGCTCATTTCAGAGATAACACAGTGTGGAGCTGGAGGAACACAGCAGGCCAGGCAGCATCAGAGGAGCAGGAAAGGAAATGCTGCCTGGCCTGCTGTGTTCCGCCAGCTCCACACTGTGCTGTCTCTGACTCCAACATCTGCAGGTCTTGCTATCTCTGATGCCCATTTCAGAGTTATTTTGCATTATTGACTGTAAAAGTATACCGTGGAACTATCCTCTATAATATATACAGGCAAAGCAGAGACATTATAAACTAAAGGGCAACAAAGTATTTTGTTGACTACACTAAGAAATGCATTACAAAGTGCCTGTAAAAGGATGGCAGCATCTGTGGAGAGAAAACAGAGTTAACATTTCAAATCCAGTGATCCTTCTTCAGAAGTCAGTGGATTGAACAAAGAACAAAGGACTGTGCAGCAAAAGAACAGGCCCTTCAGCCCAACAAGCCTGCACCAACACATGATGCCTTTCTAAACTAAAAACCTTTTGCCTGTATTTCCCCATTTCCTGCCTATTTATGTATCTGTCAAGATGCCTCTTAAACATTGCTATTGGATCTGCTTCTACCACCTCCTCTGGCAGCACATTCCAGATACTTACCACCCTTTGCATAAAAAAACTTACCTCTTACATCTCATTTAAAGATTCCCCCTTTCACCTTAAACTTATGTTTCCTAGTAATTGACATTTCTACTCTTGGGGGAAAAAAAGACTCCAACTATGCATTCTATCCATGCCTGTCATAATTTTGTAAGCCTCTAACAAGTTGCCCCTCAGCCTCTGACATTCAAGTGAAAACAAACCAAGTTTTTGCAATCTCTTCTCATAGCTAGTACCCTCCAAACCAGGCAACATCCTGGTAAACCTGTTTCTATACCCTCTCCAAAACCTCCACATCCTTGTAGTAGTGTGGTGACCAGAACTGTACTCAAAACATTAACTCGGTTTCCTCTCCACAGATGATGCCAGACCTCCTGGGTTTCTCAAACAATTTCTGCTTTTGTTTCAGGTCTCCAGCATCTGCAGTTCTTTCATTTTAGCACTTAAAAAGATTTTAGCAAGAGGAATTTCAGAGGCACTAGGAGTCTGTTTAAACTTATCCAGATACTTGGAACCACTAACGATAAAACATTCATGGACAACCATCCAGAATATTTGGATTCTGTGCTCTACAACATTTGCCAATATAAATAACTAACTATTTCACCCCCATTCTGACTTGACCTTGGAACCTGATGAGTGGGGCTCGGCGGAAGCAGCAGGAACCAGCAATTCTTTCCACTAAACAGATTGGCAAGAAAAATTTCACTGCAAGATTTCTTCAAAGATATTTTTGAAACTTTGCTTTATTTCATATATGTGACAGGCGATAGCACAAATGAAATAAAGATTTACTGGAATAATTTAATAAAAGATAGCCAAGGAACTGCACTATTAATTTCTCAAATCTAATTATGTTTCTATAAAATGAATTTGCTACTTTAATTGATATTAGTAATTCATGAAGCATCTTAACATCTCCATTACAAAAATAGTACGAACGTGTCCAAGTTGTGTTCCCAAGGCTAATCAGTCTGATTGCCCAAGCTACAAAGACTAGACTGTGTGTCAACTTCAACCTAAATCTATTTTTATTTTTGACTCACGTCATATGGATCTAATGCCTTATTGATAAATGGCAATAGGAAGATGGAGTGGTTGTTGGAAGCCAGTCATCTCAGCTCCAGGAGATCTCTGCAGGAGCTCCTCACGGTAGTGCCCTAAGCCCAACCATTTTCAGCTGCTTCATCAATGACCCCTTCCCTCCATCGTAAGGTCAGAAGTGGCGATGTTCACCAATGATTGCACAATGTTCAGCACCAGTCATGACTCCTCAAATAGTGAAGCAGTCCATGCTCAAACGCAACAAGATCTGGACTTTGTCAGCTTGGGCTGGTAAGTGGCAAGTAACATTCATGCCACACAAATTCCAGGCTATGTCCATCACCAATAAGAGACAATCTAACTACTGCCACTTGACATTCAATGGCATTACTATCACTGAATTCCCCACTATCAATATCCCGGGCGTTATTACTGACCAGAAATTCAAGTGGATTCACCATATAAACATAATGACTGTACATGAGAGGTCAGAGGCTAGGAATACTGTGGCGAGTAACTCACCTCCTGACTCCCCAAACCCTGTCCACCATCTACAAGGCACAAGTCAGGAGTCTGATGCAATACTCCCCACTTGTGGGGCTGGGCTCCAACAATACGCAAGACACCATCCAGGACAAAGCAGCCCACTTAATTGGCACTACATCCACAAGCATCCATTCCCTCCACCACTGACGCTCAGTAGCAGCAGTGTGTACTATCTACAAAATGCACTGCAAGAATTCACCAAAGATCCTCAGACAGCACCTTCCAAATCCATGACCACTTCCAACTAGAAGGACAAGGGCGGCAGATACATGGCAACACCATCACCTTTTAAGTTCCTCTCCAAGCAACTCACCATCCTGATTTGGAAATATATTTGCCAGTCCCTCACTGTCGCTGGGTCAAAATCCTGGAATTCCCTCCTTAATTGCATTATGGGTCAACCCACAACAGGTGGACTGCAGTAGTTCAAGAAGGGCAACTAGGGATGGGCAATAAATGTTGGCCAACCAGTGATACCCACATCCCACAAATGAATAGAAAAAAAACTCACAACACTAGGATCCCCTTGTAA